CCTGGGATTTCAAGGGAATGTTCCCTGTCCAACTATAGCGTGGATAATTAAGTTCCCGAAATTCGACGACCGATATGTACAAGAGGTTTCTAGCTAACGGAATTTTCGAGTGATCTTATTACAGCACGAAACACTGCAAAAACGCATGATCGCACGGGCCTACTAGTGCGCGTCGCAAATGATTTAGTATCCTTGACAGCGCTACTGACCATGCCATTTCGGTTGTTGCTTCAGAGGGATCTTCTACTGACTTCGGTGTGTGTAGGATCCTCATCAATCTGTCTAAAATCCCGTAGGGAAGGGCGAGGATGGGCTGGAGTTGCAATTATTAAGCACTTGGAGTTTATGGTTTTAACGCAAGCGTGCAACATGGAGTTTTTTTGCAAGTTTTTGAACGTGCTGGGAGAATTTAAAATTTAAGTGTATTTATATTATGGAAGAATGAATGTGTGTTATACATTAAATTAAATCACAAATCATTAAATCACCAATATTATAGCACGGTGGAGGTATTAACGACGTTGACGCACGAGAATGGCAAACTGTTTATGAAGCTGCATCAGGTAGAGCCCAAGGTAAGCCTATCATCATGGTTAGTTTAGGTTACCTAGCGCCCAGTGCTAAGCAGCGCATGGAAAATCGTATATCGAAATTGCATTTCGATTTGCACTTTGCGCCACAACTTGAGGCACTCCAAAGATATTTGTAACGAAGTAGCTGTTCTGCTTATCAGGCAAGCTGCGAAGTTGAAACTTTACAGTGGTATTCTATATTTACATATAGTCTTAATTCAGTTTTGAGAAGAAGTTCCACTGCACTCGGATATGACAAGTACTCAGTTTTATCGCAAACACAAAAGCGAGTGCATTTAGCAGTTTTCATAACCCTCTTTCGATTTCCTGCATTTTTTTCAGTGAGCGAATATCCACTAGAAAAACGACCAGGCTTCATGCAAAAGACTCGTAATCATGCACATTGGAAGTCTGTGCGGCCCACAATGCAACACCTTCATCCCAGATGACGTCCTTTCACCTCACTTGCGGGAAGAGGCAAAACAGAGCTAGTATGAGTCCAGTTGCTAAACTACAGTGTAGGGACCATTCATGATGTTAGCAATCTGTAACTTCAGTGCAAAAACACATGATCGCACCGGCAAGCCTGATGTCTTGCAGCGTGGGTTGAATTTTTAACATCTGTTACCGGACAGAAATCCATATTTGGCTGGTATATCGCCTGCCTTGTCAATCGGATTTGTTTGAGTGCGAGGCAGTGCATATGAAGTGGCTCTCAGCCAACCCTAAAAGTAGTGAAAAGCAGTAAAGATCCGGTCATTGACACAGAATCCATCCCAGTGGGCTTGAGCACTGTACTTTGAGCTCCTCCAAAGTGAACCTGTTTGTTTCGAGAGCTTCACTTTATCAGGTGGCGCAGCCGAAAATTTTTCTGTTTCGACAGAACACAATCTTCGTTGTCCCCAGACCAAAGATGACTTTTGCAACAGGGGAAGAGTTTCATGCTGCTACTTCACTGGTCGAAGCTTCGTTCAGTATATTCCTTAAAACAGAATATTGTTATAAAATTTATTTGCTAATAGTTATTTTTAGGGGCAGTCAAATTTTATCAATGCAATTAAAGTGGCACATTTGGCGCTCAAGCATCGGCAGAACAGAAATCATAAGATGCGAATCGTCGTTTTTATTGGCAGCCCAATCGATCATCTCGATCCTGCTGAAGTATGCTGTTGTTTCTTCTTTAGCTGTTGACACAGTTTGATTCTTTTTCAAGATTACAACTATGATTTTTGTGAAAATTATACACCGACTAGACCATGGTGCATTTTTTTGTATGTTTGGGGTTTGCGATAATGATGTGAAGTAAATGTATTTTAAGCTTACAAAACTTGCGAAGAAGCTGAAAAAAGAGAAGGTTCAAGTGGATGTGATCTGTTTCGGTGAAGCCGATTCGAATAAAAGCGAAATTATGGGGCAGTTCGTTGAAACACTCAATGGCAAGTAAGTTATCTTACACAATCGGAAGCATTTTATTGCCTCCACGGATAATCAGCTTTTCTCCCGTTATAACGCTTTTTTCACAACTGATACTGTGTGGTAGCTCGTAAATTCTTTTCCATTTTAACCTTCTGTCTGAACCGCACATCTATCGTATTGATAAATGTTTCTGAAATTTTAAAGAGGCAAACAATGAATATCTCTGGCCAGGGGATTGGAAGAAGATAACCTCTGTGTTTAACACTTTGTGAGTATCGTTCAGTAATCCGCTTTGTCTGTCTGTTGTTTCTCATTCGTGTCAGACCACCAATCAAACTCTGCTTCATGGCCTTTATCTTCACGCCACGCCGAAACCGCGGT